GGCCCTAAATGGCCTCATTCTTTACCTAAATGGCTGCAGTCCCACCTTGTCCCCTTGCTCTCTTTCCTTCAGCATCTAGATGACTTCTGGGTAAACTCACTGCACCGTTGGCCTCTAAAGCTCAAGCGTGAATGAAAATGTCTGTGACATGTCTCTCCCTTTGTCCTCTTCTGTGTTTTCTTGAGCCTCAGTTCCTCATTTGAAAAATGGGAGTGATGACAGCCCCCATTTTAATGAGTTGTTGTGAGGACTGTATAAAGGCAAAGCCATGTGACCACTGGCATGGTGTCTGGAAGATGCCAAATGTTTCGTCCCCCTCCTGCACCTACCTCCAGGGACCTGTGTCCGCATGCAGAGGCCACCCCATCCTCGAACGACACTCCTGAGCATTTCTTCCCTGGTCAGGACAGAGTCACATACTCGCTGAAATCAACCCCATCCTTGGGCCAGCCCACCCTCTGCCTCCAAGGGGACCACTGCCCATCTGATTTGGAGGTAGTCGTGGTTAGCGAAGTCACCCCCCACTGGGTCGAAGACTCTAGTTCTGGACCTGGCTCTGACACTTAGAATCGAAATGTGACCTTACAAAGGTCATGTCTTCTCCCCCATTTCACCAATTTATGAAATGAAAGAGCAGGGTTAGTCAGCCTTTACATTTGTTCATCTCTAGCTTCTCCATCAGCTTCTCGGAGGTGGCTGGGCTGTGTGTGACCTTGGGGGTCCACCATGGGCTCTCTCAGATGAGCCCTGGCAGGGGCTGAGCCATGCCCTTTGGTCATCTCTGGGCTGGTACACGCTCCTCAGGAACCAGCGGGTTTCGCCTGGAAGCTTTCCAGCCCTATTTCTAGCTCCTGACAGTGTTTCCTCCGATGTATCTGCTCCCCCAAATGCATTATTTATGCCCCACTCTTCTCCTTCATGGGGGAAAACTTAATTACCCAGCTGCCTTAATAACAGTCTTGCATAGTGCATTCCTCAGGTTAATTAGCTGTGTAAACCAAACAACTGTCATTTTTATCTCTTGGAAACAAGCTGATGGAGCAGTAGCCAGTTGATATTCTCTCCTCCCCAACACACACACACACACACACACACACACACACACACTCTCTCATACACGCATGTGAGTATACCCACACCCACATGCACACACCCCAACAACCATTGCCTTTCTTTGATGATTGTCTCTTTTCTTGACCTTTGTCATGGCTAATGGGTAGTCAGAGACATTCATATATATTTTAAGATCCTCATCCTCCTTGCCCTCAGCGGACATTGAGCCTGTCTCTGACCAAAATATATT